TGTTTTATACTATGTAGTGATGATGCGCAATTTTCAGCGTTACGTGATCAAAACTCAATTCAAATCCAGATCGGACAAACTTCTTAAATATTTTTTCGTGGTGCATTAAATAATGACTAGCAAATTCAAAGAAATGTTAACATTTTCAGGTATTTCACCAATATTGGCGGAGTCGTCAAGACAATTAATTAGAGCGGCGCGACACGAGAACCCTCTCTTCGTGGCCGCCGGAAACTACATAGCCGATCCTGCGGACCAAATGGTAAACAGTCGACGTCGCCCAAAACACGTCATTACGGATCCTGCCGATCCACTAACGGTGCTTTTAGGTACCCCAAGCAGTCATCGTTTTCGTCGAACCCGTCGTTTGCGACGAAGGGCTCGGCGAGTAAATTAACCCACAGACACAGCCCACTGAGTTTCTCGCCGGATCTTCTCAGTGGGTCGCGTTTCCGATCCGGTGGTAGATTCTGCGAAGCACGGCTGTTGCTAGGGTTCGTGTTAGCTCACCTACTAGCCCGGCGACGCTGACATCGTCTCTCTAGACCATCAGCTTAGGTAGGAAAAAAAAGACAATGATTTTTTGACAAAGAAATGTGGTTGGTTAGGGCTATGGTTAAAAACCACAACACTCGTGCATGCAATTCCAGTACCCGCGAGTTACTAATCATCTTAAACTTGTTTAAGTGAGTTTTCCTGAAATTGTCGTTAGGGCAATTTAGGTTCTTGTCAGATTTCTTCTCTTTGCTGGCTTAAACTCCTATACGTTATTTCCGTAACTACGTTCTCTTCAGAAAGATCAGTAGTAACTGCTTAAATGATCTTTGCTATGACGTAATATGGAGCTTTAATCTGAATACAAGAATGGGGAATTTTCGAATACAAATAGCAGTTGCAAGCTGAAGGATGCGGTTCTAGGGTCCATACCACATTAACATTATGTAAGTTCCTTACAAATTCATCTATGTTATTAAAGCTTTTGAAATTGTATTTTTTAGTCAAATATAATAAGGGTGCTGACTAAACAAAAAGTTTGGATAAGTTGAAACTTATCTATACTAATATTATAAAGAGGAAAGATTTGTTTGTTTGTTTGTTTCGAATAGGCTCCGAAACTACTGGACCGATTTGAAAAATTATTTTTCCATTAGAAGCCGACATTGTCCCTGATGAACATAGGCTACTTTTTTTTATTATTTTTTTATTTTTTGGTTTCATGTGTGTTTTAATGTTTCCGAAGCGAAGCGAGGGCGGGTCGCTAGTAAATTATATAACTAAATTATTCTCAAGTGTTAATTAAGATACAAATAAAAAGTCACAACAAACAATTTTAAGGATACATATTTATTATACACACATGAATGATTGTTTTTTTTTTTTGTCTCAGTCTCACAATTTCAAATATGTTCATAAGAATAAGTCCTCCGTCAGATGTAACATATCCGACAGTACAGTCTTTGTCTAGTACCAACCATCCATACCACCATAAAATAATATATTTAATAGCTAATTTGATGCTATGAACATTTATTTGGAATAAAGCAAACCTTAAGTATTTTGTTGATTCTTCTCAGTAATGGTTGTTGGACAGCTAAGACTTGTCTGCCCGCCTGGTATTTCTGAGTTTTTCATTTTGATTTGTTATAATTGCATCTAAGACTTCTCTAAGGTCATTGACCTGACATAAATTAATTTCCAAATAAAGCAATTTGTATCTGAACATATATTTTAATTTTATCTTCAAATTTCATTAAAATTTCTGAGTTTTAATAAATATTTCTGATCATTTCCACTTTTTTTCACATTTGGATCATGTTAATAATTTCAATGCCTTTCAAACTACTCAAGAATAATCAGCACCAATTTTATAGTCATAAGATAACAAACTAATAAAATTTATGCATGCATCTAGGACTAAGTAGGTCAATTTTGAAAGTCGACCTCTTGAACTAATAACGTCAGCCGACATTGGTTTGAAAAAGATAGTAATACAAAAAGTTTATTAGATTCAAGTGTTCTTGCTGGTTCAGCTCATATGGACACTCTGTTATGAAGTCACGAAGACATCATGAGTCAAAGAATTGGTTTTTACAGGAATGCAAAATATCATCCTTCTACACTCCTATGTCTATAGTTATTTTATAAGTTTGTGCCAAAACAGTAGTACAAACATATTAAATTGGGAATCCACTGATGATTAGTTTTTATTATCTGATAAACAAATTTTAACATTTTTTCTTTCTCTCTTTTGATTCTGGAAATGAATTTATTTTAAATATTGCATTTGCACAATCTAGCATTGCATATTTGTTTAGGTGTACAAACAAACAAATAGGAGCATACTACTTTGTATGTAAAGTCGGTAGGTCAAAAAATAAGTGACGACTATGAAATTTTCGAGTGGCGGGAAAACTATTTATGACAACAAATTCGAATTTTAGTGAAATATAAATAATTCAATCACATGTTAAAGTTCAAATTAACTCTATAGATTAATGAACTAGGTATATTTCATTGATATATTAAAGATTTTGTCTTACTTAAGCTTGGTAGGCGAATAAATTTAACAATAAGACGTTTGCGAATATTATGGTACGAAGATAAACAAGATTTGCAAAAACTGGGGGCTTTGCCAAGTCCAGTTTTCAGGGTCGCGGACGTAAGGTGTTCGGTGAAATTATTCCTCATAATAATGTGCTAAAAATATTCGCGCAACGTTCGCCACAACGCAATCTTACGTCTAAACATGTTTTGCAATGTATTTCACTCACCTTTCAGTTATAGGTACTGCCTTCGATTTCAATTCGTAGAACATGAAGTCCTGGTGCTGCTGGGCAGCAGTCATATCTTCCAAAATTCTTTGATCAACACTGAAATCGTTTGTTAGGAAAGACGCGAGATCAAATCCCATATCAATTCCGGACTCATCCATTATTGCACGTAAACACAACACAATTTTTCACACTAAAAACAAATTTAAAACTAAACCGACATCATTTTGATAATCAAAACAATGAGACTATTTTATTGAGATGAAGATGAATATCCCCACAGCATCCATTCTCCCAGCTGTGTACTTGTTGCTGGTTGTATTTTGGTTGGTTATTTGGCTATACATACATATTACAGCTGTATCTGTTGTGTGATAAAGGAATGACTATAATACCACTAAATTATATACACAACAAATAGGATGAATCCCAGTATTCGAATTTGGCATCTTTAAATTAATCGCATACTACTTTTTGCTTATGGCAATATAAAATTTCTATCACAGACTATTTAACACTCCACGACTCCACGAGAATAACTCTGACATTAAATTTAAAATTTATTATTTTAGTTTTCTAATGCATATTACTGAATTTCTTACAATTTTTAATTTTAATATTATACAATTTTATTTAAGCCAGCTATAATTTGGTTTAATGTATAGGAACATATCTCCCATAATTACTTTTCTTCTAGCAGTGGGAGGTGAGGTGATACTCAACCCTTAAATTAAATAGGCATTTATACGTTCAATTATAAATCAAAAACATAGTTACGTGCATACACTTTATATGCGAATAAAATTCAAGATGATTGACCATTAAATTCAGTAATGAATTTGTTTTATTGGGTAAATTATCTTTTCTTTTTTTAATTTAATTTCTAAACGAAATTTGACTTAAAGTTGCCAGCTTACAATATTTATGTTTTTGTTAGTATAAAAATAAAGGTTTGCATATTACGAAATAAATATGAGTTTTCACCACCATTGAAGTAGCTTCTTGCAGTGTATTATTAATAAAATAGAAGCACAGATATTAATATTTTTATTAAGTTTTATTAAATATTAATTGGCAAAAAAATACTTAAATTCGTTTAATGGACCGATGTTTTTCGATTTCAAATCGATGACATTCGTACGATGCTTAAATACATTAAAAAATGTATGATATATTTTATAGACGTATATTAACAGTCTTTTTGTAAAAGTTTTTACTTTATCTGTTGGTTCGGTCTTGTTTTTACTTTACGGAGTTTTTAATAATTTTTATAATTTGGTTTTGGCAAGCAGTTAGCGGTTAGGCACAGTGATTCATATTTTTTTGGATTGTTATACCATAAACTGCGTATATTTGTGATCTAGGACTGTATAAAGTAGCACGGACGGATGGAAGTAAAACATTTTGAACAAAGGGGTAACCCAGATACTCTAAGTCGGTGCACGAAAGCGTTTGTTAAATTTATGAATTCAGAAACCACCAACTAGAGCAGCAACCAGATAGACCCTGAGTTCACAATCACTAGAATTCTGTACAGCGCTAGAATAGACTTATTTATGTATTTTCCCTAGCAGCCAGTAATTGCCTTATTTTTGTTTTTTTCTATTGGCTACTGCCAGAAGTTACGTTGGAAGGCTTGATGAGTTTATCTTTACAAACTCAACCATTGTGATCATCTATAATATATTTTCAGACATTTTTGCCAAAGACCATCAAACACCCCAACAATCTAGCACCCCACTAGATGTTTCCTTTTCTATTTGTTCTGAGTGTCCTTATAAGCTTCTGTTTTTACGTTTTGTATGAATGATGCATTATGATATTCTTATGCAAATTCATACAATTTCATAAAACGTGATATTTTGTATTTCAAAACTAAATTATAATGTATCCTCCCATGGTACGCTGCCATGGATATACTACTAGCCCAAGAAAGATTTATGTCAGACAGACGGCCGATCGTAAAACTCATGCTAAAATCTCTTTCAGCAAGTTATGAGGACCATATTACTACCATAAATAACGTAGATTTATTATGGCCGGGAAAAAAGAAGCTCGATCAAAGCTGTCAAGTTTCTGACAAGGTTTAAGAAGAGCTCTGCAATAGGCAGTAGCTTGACCGTACCCCTGATATTGTTGATGTCCAAGATCTATAATTTCCAAAATTATAATCGTAATATCGCCGTGTCAAAGGTTCTTATTTAATTTTGGAAGTGGCAGCACTGTCTCAGACGGTAGAATATAGTAGAAAAGTTAAATTCATTGACAAAATTCGATGGGTTGGAAATTCATCTAATATACAAAAATCCACGACAATAACATTAATTCCGTATTATAATATTTTAAAAAGCACATTACAATGTCAAAAGCACATCCACCAGAATTGAAAAAGTAAGTAATATTGGAAGTTTGTTTGTTTCACTCGCAAACAAAGCTGGCGTCCTTGCTATAACCTAAAATTAAAAGAACAGCGTAAATTCTTTAAAATCCCAAATTAGTCCGTAGAAATTCGCATATTTGATGTTTATACACAAAAAAGAATATGTACTTTAAATGGTACTTTTATATATTTCAGATTCATGGACAAAAAATTGTCAATAAAGCTGAATGCGGGTCGCGCTGTTACCGGTGTGTTGCGCGGTTTTGATCCATTCATGAATTTAGTTCTTGATGAATCAGTCGAGGAGTGTAAAGACGGTCAGCGTAACAATGTTGGGATGGTGGTTAGTATATTTTCAAGAACACTCTAAAGATAGCTTTTGTCCGCGACACCGTCCGCGTGGAATAGTTACTTTAACGCTAAATTTTACCCCCCACTTCATGTACGTAGAAAGTGAAAGTATTTTTGAATTATAGAATGTTAAGGAGCTGTTTAAATCCCCTATTTTGAAACATTCTTTATATCTATCATCTTATATTCTATATCATGGCAGAAGTAGACTGGGACATTGTATCTAAATGTGCTCGCTAAAAAGATACTTTACCACCAGTAATTATGCAAATAAAGTTTTTTAGGGTTTTTTTTTTTATTGCTTAGATGAGTGGACGAGCTCACAGTCCACCTGGTGTTAAGTGGTTACTGGAGCCCATAGACATCTACAACGTAAATGCGCCACCCACCTCGAGATATAAGTTCTAAGGTCTCAGTATAGTTACAACGGCTGCTCCACCCTTCGAACCGAAACGCATTACTGCTTCACGGCCAAAATAGGCGGGGCGGTGGTACCTACCCGTGCAGACTCCCAAGAGGTCCTACCACCAGTGAACAGGTTTGATGTACATTACACAATTCATTCAGTGTGGAGATCATTCATAAATACTCATTAAGTATTACGTCACTACAACAATTCTTGATGTTTGAAGTGTATTTAGTATAGATAGTGTGTTTGATATTAAAAAATAGTTGTTAGTTACAACTATTTTGTTTAGCTATAAGTATTAGTTTTGCTGTGTCCTTCACATGGTATTTTAGAAATCACTACTATTGCTCAGCAGTAGCTCGTGATTTTTTACGACAAAAAATATTTGACTGTAAAGTAACTGAATAAAACAATTTAATCTTTCTTTCAGGTAATTCGTGGCAACAGTATTATAATGCTGGAATCTTTAGACAGACTTTAGTAGACTTGGAGTGGGCAAGAAATATCACCAATGCTGTAAATGTGCTTCATGTTTCATCAATAAATAAATATAAAACTCGGATCTAAAACTTAGTTTCTACAGCAACAGCAGCAACAGTAAAAGGAAAAAAAAAGGAAAACTGATAATTTTATATCTAAACTTCACTATTTAAATTTAATGTGATGTTAGGTTAAGTTAATAAATAATGAAACACCTCAGATTTGTGTTTGTTTTGATCTATACAGGGTTATAAAATTTATGTCAGAAAACTTTGACACTACAATTCCGATCACAGTACCTAAAAATGCGACCAAGGGTGTCAAATTTTTTACTTTTTCGAAAAATGTCTATCATCGCTTGACTAAGTGACATAGATTTTTTTTCTTATTTGTTTCATAACTGGTATACCTTGGCCTCTCGCCCGGTACCAGGTTATCGTTGAGTTTTGGGACACCCTGTATATTCTATGGGTCTAGCTCTAGATGATGCAACTACTGCTGTTGGTCATTATAGTAATGCAATTGGCACAGCTAAGCATCAAACTGAATATACCTTTAAAGAAATAAGTTCCTACTCTAGAAATTCTGGTGGGAAAAGCAGTATTTTGGTATTGTGCAGGTTTTTCAGGTGTTCACTTGTTAAGGCAAGTAAATCGATAGATGTTATTTAAATCTTATCGAAGATACGCTATTCTTCTTCTTCTTCTTCTTCTTCTTCTTCTTCCTTGTCGTTTCCTCATTACTGAGGGTCGTGACCACCTTGGTTCAGTTTTTGCACCAGCTTCCTCCAATGTTGCCTGCATTCGGCCTGCTTAATGGCGCCCGGGACGCTGGTGTTTGTGGCCTCCTTGCTAATGTCCGTCCACCTGGTTGGCAATCTTCCTCGATTTCTCTTTCCTTCCACGTGACCTACAACTATTAATTTTTCCAAGTTCTCAGGATTTTGTCGGGCCACGTGTCCGAAGTACTTGAGGAGACGCTGCGTACAGATTGTAGATAGACGGGTCTTGACGTTTAGCTCCTCAAGAATTGACACATTTTTTCGGCGCTCCGTCCATGATACGCCCAACATTTTGCGCCAACACCACATTTCAAATGCGTCAATTCTCGATCGGGTACGGGTCTTGAGGGTCCACGTCTCTGAAGCGTACAAGAATATGGAGAAGATAAGGGTTCTCATTCACGCTATAGACAAAGAAATAGTCCATGTATGGGCTCGTAAGTTCACCGTTGTTGTAGCTGTGAATGACCTCAATTTGGACTGTCACAACAAAGTGATAAGGTGCATAAATTTCGTATGAGTACCGAAACAAAGTGGTGCACTCTAGATCCCCATCCTATTTCTTTAATTACTAAGTATGGTGAGGATAGGTCCCATCACCACCATGTGGTCACAATAAAATTCATACAAATTCCTAGGTGTATCTTTAATTTTGCTTGCGATTAGTTTCGTTTAGTATTTGAGATCTTAAATAGTTAAGGCATCGGCTAAAGCCGTAGAATAGAACTAGGCCTTCGTTGTGAATCTTAATCCCATTGGCCCCAGTTAGGCCCCCCGCCGGATTAGTAATATGGCTCTTTTACGAAGTCCTTGAGGAATTATGCAAGCATATTGTTAGCGTTTAGGATAAATGGAGCACCAAAGTCGTCGTTAACGGCTGCTGTTTGGATTACATGAGCATTAACAAAGGGATTCCACAAGGTTTGGTGCTGTTCCCTATGACTTTCATCGAACATATTTAAAAAGTTATTTGTTAATTAGAAACATTAATAAGCGACAACACAGGATGCTCTTACATCTCCAACATGAAAATCTCGGAGCGTGGGTGACGGAAAGAGTCTGAAGCGAAGAGCCAGAGGGTACAGGTATTCGAATGGCGTAATTAGAATTTAGATTTATTCAACTCAATAAAACAAACTGTAGGTTTTCACGTTCGTTGCATTTTTTATATTGCGCTCGAAAAGAGTAGTCTCGCAGTTCTGGGAGTTTTTTAAGGCCGGCGTTTTGAGTTGTCTTTAATGTCAGAATAATGCGGGTAAAGCTACGAATAAATTATTCGTAGGGGTAAAGCCAGTTTGAATTGTTGGTAATACCTACTCAACAAGATTTCATCTAAACTAGTGCTCATATTGATATCAGTGATCATTTTTGTTAGGTATAAATAAAGTTTTATAAATGAACTTTCATTTGAGACACTATTATTAATGTATAACTGTGATTTCAGTTTGTTGCACCCAATTACCTAGTTTATCTATGAATCCGCCAACTTCAGCCAAGTAATACCTACTGGTAATACAAAACTTAAGTAGGTACTCACGTTACCAGACCATGAAATATTTGAAAAAATATCTTTATATTTGCAAGAGCTTATCATCTTAGAAAATATACCTATTTTATTTAGGCTTGGAATCCATCCACGATAGAATATCTATCATAGATAACTACCTAGTAACTACACTTTATAACCAAATGTTTAAATAATTGTAGTCTGTGGTGTTACCCTTTTTTGTCAATTTTGTGTCTGACGGAGATAAACATTGTTTGTGTTTTGTGATGACATTGTGGAAAACATACAGTTATTACAGTAGTAGATTAGTGATTTGATTGAATTTTATGGTACGCCAATAGCCACACAATATAATGAAGGTTTTACAGGAAATATAATGTGTGCAAGTCGTTTTTAAAATAAATAAATACCTCCCAGAACTCAACAAGACCTCCTCAAGGTTAGTAAATTTAACAAAAACAATATTGAACTCTTTTGTTCTAATTTCGCGATCACTCTAATGTGGATTATAATATCTCCATCGTTTTCTTATTAGAAAATACAATACAGACATTTTTTTTAGATAATTAATGGGTGTAAACTATGACTGGAAATCCTTATGAGGTCATCGCAACTCGTAGATAGTTATTTTATCTGTAGCATAGAATTTTAATTTCAATAGTTTTGACGATAGTCTGGCTTTTAATTCAGTTACCACTTATACTTCCTAATCATTTCCATAAAAAGAGTTTAATATACTTACTTTCTGTACAGAGATACTATAGTATTATTTTATAACTTATGTAGTTATGATAAGGTCTACTTGCACTTGTGTAGGTTGTTACTGCATTCACATTTCTGCTGAAAAAACTTTTTTTAAATCTATTTTTAAAAATTCAAATGAATTGATGACCTACGAATATAATAAGTACATACTGAAGTAAATAAACATAAATTTATGCTGCTGCTCACCTTGAGATATGAATGAAGTGTATGTCCTAACATTACAAAAGCTGCTCTACTCTTTCAAATACAATGTGCAAATACTTTGCCTCCAAAACGAGCATAAAACTCTCATGGCCTAAAACTGTAATTTGATTTGATTTTTTACTATGGTATTCTCTGAATTAATACTTCAACATGTGTTAATGAAGGCCCCAATTGTGGTGTAGTGCCTGTGAGCTTCATTGACTGCTGCATTGTTATTTTCTTGTTAATCTATAAGCAGTGTTTTTTCATTGTATTCTGTTCAATAGTTGGGCTGCATTCATTGGAACACAGAGCTATGACTTAAGTAAGAAAGAAAACTTCTTTGTAGGTTTTAGAAGTATTGTAGTGTAAAATAGGCAGGATACTGATACTTACTTGTGTGAGCTATGAATAAGTTCTAAATACAGCTTAGCATTCTAGATTTGCTTGTGAGATAAATAATCCTCTGAGATAAATACTACCTCTTTTGATAAAACTTTTGATATCCTTTTATGACTGCCATGGGAAGATATCGACGCTTGAAAGGCAAACCTGACTAAGCGACAATGCGTCGATATGGAATCAAACTTTTCTAGATCTAAGCTATTAATTATCATTCATTGATTAAAAAGAGATTGTTAATTTTTTGAGTAAAACTAAAACTGAATCTTTGTGATAAGGTAACAAATAATTAAATATAAAAATTCCAATACAGATACAATTAGACAAAGCCAGAAAACATGGCAGAAACCCTTGACCCGCTGTCACCGACTGTGAATATTTCGCCAAGGATTGGAATCCTACAAAAACTAAGGACAAGATTTGGTAGAAATGTACCTATTAATCGAAATAACAGTGAAGGTATGTTTAGTTGATTTTATTATTGCTTGTACAATATTACGAAATTCTATTAGATGTATTACTAACAAACTCGAGAGATGTTGTCCTGTACACACATCTAGAATCCAAAAACGTCAGTCTGTTTATGCAAAACAACATTAAATCCGTATGGCTCTAGCACCCTATGTCTCACGTGTATCTGTGAGAGTTAAAACAAATGTAGTTCTGATTAGGACCACCTCAAGCGCACGCTGCAAGTGTGTTTTCCATTTTTTAATTATAATATCATGTATTACTTAATAAACAATTTCCTAACACAGTAAAAAAAATAGTTAAAAAACATTGTATAGTAGATTGATTTTAGAATCTAAACTATTCTGGAATCAACTTGAATACACAAAATATCAAAACAAAACTGATCTAACCATTTCGTTGTTCGGTCAAATAAGAATTACATATAAATACATATATGCTGACATTACTCAAGGTATTGCTATTTTTTTGAAGTATGATTAATTTAAGAGTATATTTAATGAAATAGAAATAGACACATTATATTTACAGGCAAAACAATTGTGTTGAAAAGTGACTAACAGTTGCTAGTAGTGTTCTCTACTATAGGGTTCATTGCTAAAACCTTGTTATATTTATTTATTTCTTAGACCCGTGATCGAGCTCACGGTCCACCTGGTGTTAAGTGGTAATTTGTGCCCATAGATACCTATAACGTAAATGCTGCCACCCGCCTTGAAACATGACTTCCGTGTCTCAGTTTCACAGTACAACATCCGCTGTAACTATACTCGAGACCTTAGAACTTATATCTCAAGGTGGGTGGCGCATTTACGTCGTAGATGTCTATGGGCTCCAGTAACCACTTAACACCAGGTGGGCTGTGAGCTCGTCCATCCATCTAAGCAATAAAAAAAAAAACAGCAGCTGCCCCGCCTTTCAAACCGAAACGCATTACTGCTTCTCAGCTGAAATAAGCAGAGCTGTGGTACCTACATGTGGGGGCTGACAAAACGCCCTGTCACCAGTAATTATGGAAATTATAGCTTTACAGGTTTCATTTTTATAAAACGATGATATTCTTTCACTGTGGAAGTTGTTCGTGAACATTTGTAAAGTACGTATTTCATTAGAAAAATTGGTACCCAACTGCGGGATTCGAACGTCGGCACGATCGCATCGCTCGATACGAATGTACCGGTCGTCTTATCCTGTATGACTGGGAACAAATCACGCATCCGGCCCAAAACCACGATTCCCTGTGTTATGGATACCAGAGACTGACATACATACTTTATATGTATAAATATATAGATAATTATTTATTCCTTTATTTTATTTATTATGGATAACAACAAATAAATATTATATTTAGAAAATAGCTAACCAAAAACCAAACTTGTTTTCACCGTCAAAATTACATATTAGAAGAAAGTGAACGTCAAAATAAAAAGAAATTACATATATACATCCACCTCTATTTTATGTATATACATATGCATATTTTAAAACTTAATAATATACATCTGACCTGGTTAATTAACACTCAGACAATAAGCAAACAAATCTGTCCATCACACAATGTGATTAGCATGATGTGAGAATCGAACCCACACCCCTAGACGCAACAAACAGGGTTGTATTAACAGTCATGTATTATCGTATAGTGATAGATGGTTCCTCCTGGTGGTCCCTATTACTATGGGGTTCACGGCTAAAACTTTGTCAAAGGAAACTGAACCTAATTAACCATTAGTCTCGTACATTGGTCAATTATCTTTGTTCTCCATCGAGGTCATAGCCGACAATTGTTGATTTCTCCTGTAAAGTCAGGCGTGACACCGTTTGTTAAAATCATTTCATGCCGACACCTCGTCTGCACGTATCGATTTTATTATGTCCGATGAAAAGTGCAGTTATGGTGAATTTTACATTAACGATACTTAAATTTTTCGTGAGCTTTGCGAAACATAACATAGTGATATCTTCATCGTAATATTCTAGAAGAAACTGGGTAGTAATGAGATAGACTAATACAGTCTTTTATGGGAACTGAAATTTGCTTGTGTTCCATTAACTGTCCCATTAATTTACGAAGATTTAACTCTTGTTTTGCCATCGAGAAGTGCTTTTGGAATTTGTCTGTAGAGAGGTCTTTTGCGATAATCATTCTTATTGAATGTTTAATAAGCCTTGTACAAGTCAAATGATTCTCTCAGTTAACATAGTTTTAGGCAGCGGCTTGGCTCTGCCCCTGGCATTGCTGACGTCCATGTGCGACGGTAATCACTCACCATCAGGTGGGCCGTATGCTCGTCTGTGTGCAATGTATTAAATTTAGCCACATCAAACTTCAACTGGTCACACGAGAAACGTGTGGGTCTTTTTTGATGCATAGTGATTTTCAAATTTCAGGATATGTGGAATTCGGGGAGTTCCGGGTTGAACGTCCCGGAATTAAGAAGGTCGGGACATTCGCCGGCGTCTTCTGTCCCGTCGTGCTATCTATGTTTAGCGCTCTCGTGTTTATACGAATGGGTGAGTAGAGTACAACAGACCAGAGTACATGCACGCTTAGGTCAAATATTAATTATCAATTAAAGTAATTGAATATATCATCATTCTCTTGCCCTTCTTCCAATCACCTGGGGTCAGCACAACATGTTTTCTTCTTCCATACTCCTCTATCATATACCATTTTTTCACTCACTTTCCTCTTACACATATCGTCTTTAACGCAATCCATTCATTTCTTCTTAGGTCTACCTCTTCCTCTATATTCTTCCACATTCATAGTTAACACTCTCTTACCAACTTCATTTTCATTTCGTCTCATCACATGTCCATACCATCCCAAACGCCCACTTTTCAGCTTCTCTGTCACAGGTGCCACTTTCAGACTTTCTCTAACATTATAACCGTAATTGAATACAGTTGCTCTAAAACTTCAACGATTTTTTTTATTTACAAAAAATATCATCTCGATTTAAAAATACTGTGTTAATTTTGGGATTTCATCACAAATACACTTCGGCAGCTGCGAATCAAGGACCACAGTATGACCACAGTATCAGGAAAGGGAGTTAGATTTTCCTAGTTCATAGGTATTTTATTCCTGAGTCTCCAAAATTTCGATGCGATATTCTGTTTTTTATATATTTGAATCGACTTATAAATACATTAGCTGTACCCGTCCGCTTCGCTGGGCATTTAAAATTAACTTGAAATTAACATTATTATTTCTCACCATCACAAAGATTCTCATTATTAACGCCCCCTCAACTGGTGTAGGGAGTCCAACACTCTTATAAATATTAGTCTATTCATTAAGTACATGTATTTTCTACACGGATACCAAGTTTCAAGTAAATCGGATGCACGGTTCAGTAGTTATAACAGAACATCCGTAAAAACCACTGTAGATTTATATATAGTATAGATAATTTTTAGTCTGTCAATGACAATATAACATGCCCGCATTATTAATTAAGCGAATTACGATGCAATGATATCCCTTATCGCATACATTGCGTGTCATGTGGTTCTATATTATCGGACATAAGCAACAAATGATTTGTTATGAAAATTCAACGTAAGTGAAGTCCGAGTTTATTTTGAAAGACATGTTTATCTTTACGTGATGTGAAAGAGTAATTATTGAACTGCGAATAAATGGCATTAAAACCTTTGATTATTTGTTATTAATTGCAAATAGATGACGTTAAAACGTTTGTTATTCATTAAACTTACTACTTTCGGAGAGCAAGTATAGAGTGGCCATACCAAGTGCCACAGATAACCAAAGAGAAACGAACTAAGCGAAAGGATATATTCTGTGAATGCAATATACGTAATATTTATTTTCATTACGCTTTCTGTTTTGTGTCCTTTATGGTAAAAATCACATATAATGTGGCGTCCACCTGCTTTGGTCGTCCGATATCCGGACCTCAAATAGAAGGTTGGTTTAAGTGATCGCGCGTTGTCTTGATAATTTCGGTAAAAGTAAAAATAAAATAAAAAAACGTCGACGTTGAACGTCACTACACTGCACCTTGCGATTCTGAATATTCCCTTACTACTGCTGGATTTTGTTACAAAAACTATGGTCTGATGTCTTAAAGCACTCGTTACCAGTACATAAAAAAAAAAAAACTATGGTCTGTTTTATAAAGGGTGTCTCAGCGCCGATTTTAAACTTTAAATATTAAAAAAAAAAAAAAACAAAGATTGTATTTATAATATTTATGATATTTTAATTGCAGTAAACTATAGTTTATTAATGCGGATTTTATTTACGGAATATTACACCGACAAGATGTCTTCCATCACGGCGAATGCACTCTTCAAAGCGGACTATCGAAGTGGGTGGCGCATTTACGTTGTAGATGTCTATGGGCTCCAGCAACCACTTAACACCAGATGGGCTGTGAGCTCGTCCACCCATCTAAGCAATAATAAATAAATAAAACATTTGTATTCGATTTACAGGTTATTTAGTAGGTAATGCCGGTCTTCTGGTGACATTAGCGCAATTCGCCGTGGCGTACCTCATAGTGCTGTTCACGGTGACCTCAATATGCGCGATATCGACAAACGGGGCGGTCGAAGGAGGCGGCGTGTATTGTATCCTTTTTAATACACTTCAACCCACATATTAGTCGACTACTATCAAAGCCGGTAATCTGACTTTTGGACAATTATTGGTAAATCAGAAAAACGAATTATTGACTTTGTATTCCATTGGCAGATAAATAACAGGTTAACTATTAACCTTTATTTAATGCAGATTTTGAACCGTATTCTTTGAAGGAGACGATTATATTCAAATCAATCTGTACTGACATATCAATAACATTTTTTTGTCCAAATGCACAGATTGCCACCTTTGATAATAGACGACTCATATACAGTCTATTGAGTTTCTCGGTTCTTTTTTATTAACCTTGTAGGCAAACGAGAATACGGCCCACCTGATGGTGAGTAGTTACTGTAAGTAATGCCAGGGG